CTGATTATTAAAATCAAACACAAAAGAAAGTGTGATTAAAAAAGAAAAAACAATTCTTAGAACTAACAAGCTATTACTGCAAAGTACCCTAATTAGTTATAAAAATAAACACTAACTTTCAAAGGCACCTAACAAGAAGAAGGGTTAGTATTTATTCCTCTTTAGTGCAACATGGGGCAGCTATGTGACACAGTGGAAAGAGTACTAGGCCTGGAGTCAAAAAGACTCATCCACCTGAATTCAAAGCTGGCCTCAGATATTTACTAGCCCTGTGACCCTGGGGAAATCAGGTAGTTTAAATCTCCCTGGAACTCTATGGGGCTGAATGTAGTGGCATAAACCCATCTTCCTTGCTAATGGTTAGGTTGAGATTGGTGAATTGCTTAGGTTAGGTGTCGTGCTACAGTAGGACCTAAGCTAATTGGGTTTTTGTACTGCTATCAATATGTGACCTTTCCAGGATCAGGGACATTGGGCTTCTGAAGGAGGGACAAACCAGTTTAGGTCAGAAATAGATCAGGTCAAAACTTTTGTGTCACTCCACTTGCAGCCTGAGACAGAAAGACCAACTTCACTTTTAAAAGCCAACAACAACAGCAACAAAAACAACAATAACCTTTAAGTTATAATCAAAGCTAGACTTGGCAAAGTGGACTATTTAAAATGTACACTTAAGATCTAATGTGATAAAAGTATGATTTTATGGTAAAGAATTAAAGAATAAGTGTTGAAATCATTTGGACCCAATACCAAGTTATATAAAACAAGTGACAGCAGGAAAAGGAGGAGATATTGAATATTAATTTTAAAATACAAAAGTAATAAGGTCTGTTCTATATTAAAACACTTAATTGTTTTGCTTTATCCCCAGTAATTCATACAGAACACTTTAATCTTAAAAAATGAGCATTTCATGGTTATTCAACTTACATGTATATCAGGCAAGACCCTGATCCCTAATCTTTTGGAATATAACTTTTAGCTTTAGCTACTCATTCTACTATGCTCCACTGCCTCTGATAAGATTTTCAAAAATCTTTAACAAGTTGCTACCCCTTAAAAGACATTTTTTTAAAAACGTAGTTACCACAGGATTTTGGATGTTGGAATGGGGACATGGACAATGAATTAATTTCAAAAGAAGAAATAAAGAATTGGGATGTGAAAAGCTATTTTGAATGGAGAAATGCAAATGTTGGTATCCTTCCATAATTTTAACTGACTCATCTTCTTTAATAAATTTAAAATAGTCTAGGAAGGATACATGGTAAAATATATAAGTTTTAGGTTAATAATGAAATCTTCCAGGTAATTAAGAGCTAAGCAGATGGAGATAGACTATAAAAACATCTTTAAATCGTGAGGTTAGGAAGAAAAGTGGCAGATGAATTTATGTAAGTACAAACCAATGTATTTAGGGACTTAAAAATCCAAACTACATGCATAAAATTAAAGTTTATGAGGCATTGGTCATGATCCAGGGGAAAAAAAAGACTTCAAACTCATGAAGTCTCCATGAAGGATGTTGGTCCATTGTATTGCTAAGTGGTGCCCAATGCCAATAAAATACTGTGAAGACCCAATAAAGCATGTCTTTCAATTAAGAAATAAAGTGAAATGTTTATACTACACTTAAACAAAACTATGGGACATCTGCTTCTGGAATATCGTATACAGTTCTATTCACCACTCATAAAAATGAGATAATAGAAATAAAAAATATACATCCAGAGAAGACACAGTAAAATGTTGAGACAGATGGAAGAAGGGATCAAGTGAGTACAGGCTAGGTTTCTCAGATTAAGACTGAAGAAAAAATTCAGTCTTAAAAGACAGAAATTTAGAGGTGTCATGGAATTTTACAAAAGTAAGAATGGTGCAAACAAGGTAAACCCAGGCTTATTCACCAGGTTCTAAGATATGATTCATTGTGGTACATTCATTCAACAAGCATTTATTAAGAAACCATTATGTGTCGTCCACTGTGATAGGCACCGGGGATACATAGACAAAAAATAAAAGTCCCTACCCTCAAGGAGTTTACATTATATTTTGGGGTGGAAAAAATTTAACGCAGAAAAGTAAACATAAAATGTGAACAATGTAGTTTATGGGGGTGGGAAGCGCATCGTGATAGAGACAGTGGGGTAGGAATCATCAAAGGTTTGTTCTCGGAAGTAGCTAGAGGTTAGCTTTAATAGAGGCTAGGGCTTCTGGGGCAAGGATGAGAGAAGGAACATTCCAGATGTGTGTGGGAGGGTATAACTTGTGTGAAAGCACAGAGATGAGATATGAGTAATTACCCTTTGAAACTTGGACCAAGAAAATTTTAGGACAAATAAAGGAAGTCATATTTCAGATAAAGGGTGGGAAATTTATAGAGTTCAACTCCCCTTACTCCCCCACCCATGAAGAGAAGGACTATAGGGGGGAAAGATGCTTCAAAAAGGGGTATGGAAAAACTTACAAATGACAGAGCCATAAACAACTGCTAAAGAAAGATAGTATACAGCTAATCTTTAAGGGAGGACAACCATGCCCTCTTATGGCATGTTGTTTGGAATTTCTGTTGGCAAAAGAATACTGAGCTGGATAGAATATAGATCTGACCCACTAGAATAGTTCCTAACCTGGGATTTTTCAGCAGCTAACAGCTAAGAATGACAGAACATGCTTCTAATTTCTCCAGCAAATACACCTTTGAACTTTAATGACTTTTTAAAAAATAAACCCTATTTTGATTTTTTTTTGCTTTTTCAGGTACACTCAAAACATTTTCTGCCTCACTAAAATGACATTAAATTTTAAAAAATAGAAAGATATATGTAGCTAACTGAGTTTCCTTTTTCTTACCCTGAGGTGGGGAGGATTTAAAGGATGGGGAAAAAAAAAGAATAGAGCACACTCACCTTAACATGAGGAACAGAGAATGTCAGAGATTGAGTTCAGTGATTTTCATGCCCAATGAGTTTGAGAGTCTTCAAGCTTGACACAGAGTCCTCATGACCATCTGTCATTTATCTTATTTTCCAGGAGTCTTGTTACCTTCATTTCTCACTTTATACCATGTGGAGTGGGGTAGGGTGGGTTGCAGAGTTAGAAGATGAAGGTACAGTGGTAAAAGGAAGAAAATGAATATGCTGTTTTTAGCTGTAAGTGGAGAGACAGCATAGAACAGAGGATAGAGTAAGGCCTGAAAATTGGGGGTGAACATCCTGCCTGGGACACAACCTGGCTGTATGACCCTAGGCAAATCGATGATTCTCTTAGTACCCGAGGCAATTCCCTAACACTGTGAACTACATAAAAGTTGCCTACCTATACTGGGAGAGAGTGTTCTCCTCTGGGGAAGCTACATTTATCAATTAAATCACAGTGCCAGTCCCTAGCCTATAAGCAGAGAGAGCTTGAAATGACTGTGTATCCACCTTCATCATGAATTTTTTTATAACCTTCCTGCAGCATAGTTCAAATTGAAAGGAACTGGATGCACCCCTTTGCTTTCAAGTATTGTGTACTTGCTAGTGAGAAAGAGGAGTTTAAAAACGTGCAAATACATTGCCTTAGAAGGATTTGTTTCATGCTGGAAGAAATTGTGTGGAATTCAGCCAACAGTTGAATTTGGGTGCAGAGATTAACTGACCATGGTTTGTAATCGCTATATGTATGTGCACCTGTTGTCTTTTCAGTAAGACTGCAAGGCATAGGTCATATACTTTTTTAAAAAAGTAAATATTTTATGGGAAACAACATTGAATACGAATTTAAAAATGAAAACACTGAGCCTTAGTTTACTTACCTTAATTTCAATATATGAAGTGTCACAACACTTTTCAGTCACTTTCTCTTAGCTCCTTTCAAACTTCTATCTATTTATTGTCATTCACCTTTCCTAATATAATTGTAGTTATTGTGTACTATTGTTCTTCTCATCTTTATTTTTCCTCCACAAATTTTTTTAAATAAAGGTTCTCCGTATTTCTTTCTATACTTCAAACTTGTTGGTCTGAATAGCATTATAGTAGTCCATTAGATTAATATAATATAATTAATCTTACCATTCCCCAATAGTTGGACACTTTGGTTCCCAACTCCCTGCTTTCTCTCTCTCTCTCTCTCTCTCTCTCTCTCTCTCTCTCTCTCTCTCTCTCTCTCTCTCTCCCCCCCCTCTCTCTCTCCCCCCCCCTCTCTCTCTCTCTCTCTCTCTCTCTGTCTGTCTCTGTAATACCATATATGCTTGGCAAATGAGTAACTCACTAAGTGCTAGTTGAATTGAATATACAAACGGTTGATAGATAAATTAAAATGCCACTGTACTGTGAAAATGAATATATCACAAGGTTGAAAATAAATACAGTACACATATTTTTTTAAAAAGCCCATCCAGGCCAGAGTTTAAAAAAAGCAACAACTCAGTACTAGTCAGGCCAAAATATGATTATATTCAAGACCATTTTTCATCAGATGCACACATTTCCTATTGCACAGTAAATATTTTTTACAGCCTGATGACTGTTAGTTGAGAAATGAGCTACATATAATAAACACTAATTTTTTTTAAAGCAGCCTCTTTCTGGAATCCATCATTGAACCAAAGAAACAAATAACCCATGAATATTTCAACGCAGTAATCTGTTTAAAAAGTAAACTATATTGACATTTAAATTTCCCCCACCTTGATACATGGAGTCAAACATCGGCAATCATCTCAAAGCAACCCTGTGTTCTTCCCTATATGTTGTTTCAAGTTTCTAGCAATTACAAATTAAAAAAAAAAGGATGGGAATTGTGGTTCTGATGTGAAAATTGCCGCTAAAGACTTGTGATCCTAATGAATCCAGAAAGGGTTGGGAGGTGACAATGGAGGAGGGAACTAGAGGGAAAGGGGAGATAGAAAAGGCTGTCATCTTTGCTCCTTGGGACTACCAAATCAGAGAGCAGAGAGGATCTCATTGGAGGAAACCTTTCAGTAGCAACTAATCCTATCATATTGAAAGAAAATTGTAAATGTTCTCTCCAGAAATTGCCTGCCCGTTGCAGCTAATCGAACACACACCACACACATACACAGCACACACTTCTGGTACACTTTCTGAGCCCTAATACACACACACGCACACCACACACAGACAGACAGACAGACACACACACACACACACATACACACACTCACACACAGCCTACGGGTGGGTTGGATCTTGGATTTTGCCAGTTCTACTAGGAAATACCCAGGGACACAGCGAAGGAGTGTTTCCTCCCCGACAGTCAACTCTGCCTTCTTTTCCCCAGCTTCTCTGGAAGAGAATGCGTCCCGCCCTCCAGATCACTTGGACTCTTCTCTGTATTATGTTTGCCCCTCCGGCTCCATCTCAACGGTGAAAACCAGGTTTGAAAATCCTTTTTTTTTTTTTCGTTACAGCATCTCAGGTTAATTGCTGCGGAGGGCGGGGGCTAGCGGACTGAGTGGACACGGGGGTTAGGTTCGAGTTTTGCTGAGTGCCCTGTGTCTACATGACGCGTGAGGACCAACTCTGTCTTCAAGCCAGGACCATGAAGCCTCTAGTCTGAGGCTCTCTAGAACAGTTGCTGGTCCCCTCCTTCTACCACATCCCATACTTCCCCTGCCGCTGTCGCGGTACTAACTAATCTTTTTCTATTCTCTTGGAAGATCATGGGAGAGAGACAGCAAGCGGCTGGCTCCGGACTCTGAGCATTTTGCTGAGAGACCACATGCCCGGGCTTCCAATTTGGTGGCCCGCTGCTCCCTGCCCCTCCTCGTCTTTGAGAAGCAAATCGCCAGCACCAGGGAGTGTATGCAACTTCTGCTGACCCGAGATCAGGTAAGGAGCTCCCTGCTTTCTTCCTCAAGCCTTTGCCTTGCCGGCCTTGATCTGAGCATTGAGGGCATCCTTTTTGCGCACTCCCTTTGGATCTCCTATGATGTGTATGTGTGTTGTGTGTGTTTGTGTGGGTGTGTTTTGCTGGTGTTTTCTCTAACCAGGGATTCTCATAAAGAAACTTTAGCTTTCTAGGTTGGGTGGGTTTGGATCAAAGATTGACGAAGGTGCGAGTGTATGTGTGCGTGCGTATGTGTGCGTGAATGTACCCTGAGAAGGAGGAAAGGGCAGACACAGCCCCTCAAAAGAAAGGAGTATGACCTAACCCGGGGTGGATTTTACTAGGACTTGATGAAGGGAAGGGAGCAGCACCCGCCCAGACAATTCCCCCACAAGCACACTCCTTCTAGTCCTTCGCCCACCATCCGCAAGCTAAGATTCAGCCCTGAAAAGATGAGTGGGCATCTGGCTCTCTTCTCTCAGGACTCCTCTTACCAGAGTGGGTCTGGTCTGGCAGAGGTTCCTGGGCACTATCCTGAAGTAAGATGGGTAGGGGGTCGCCCACTTTTTCCTTTGGCTTCTGAGGCTCTGTCTGCCTCACTGGGGAGTTGGGGGGTGGGAGGGGGAGACCATCTTGCGCCTGGGCTAAGGCTTAGAGGGCGGCTCCAGATGGCTTGTGCCTAGTGGAAACGCGAGTGGTGAAAACGGGCAGGGGGCGAGTAAAGGAGAGAGGTAGGATCGGAATGCTGGAGGTAAAGAGAAGGGGAACCGCAGCGCTAACTCACGCACGCGCGCGCTCACACACACACACACACACACACACACACACACACGCACAACACACACACATCCCAAGTCCTGCTTTATCTCCAAAGGCTCGGGCTTCCTTTTCTGCCCCTTCCGGATCTTCTAATCAACAGCAGCGTGAGGGCTCAGGGGGGTACCCACAATGTTTCAGGGCAGAATCGCGCACCTAAATTTGTCGCTCTCTGCCCACTCTGGGACTACGGGCTGCAGTCTTCCAGGTCCCCCCCAAGCTTTGGGGCCTGTGATTGCGCTTGCTGATGGTAGTTAGACAGTTGATATCCTCCAATCCTGGCAGTCACCAATAACTTGTAGCTTACAGGTAAGGATCCGAGGTGCTGCAAGGATCTTGGCTCAGTGGAAACTTGGAAATTGCATCATTGATTGGTTTTCTTGATCCCCCAAGATGGGGCAGGTAGGAGAGGATGTCTAGATCCGGCTGCCTGCAATGGAGGGACCTTCAGGGCTACAGGCTAATGCGGGATCATGTCTCAGCCAGCACCTCCCTTTCACCCGGCTCCAGGTTTCTGCTCGTCACCTCCCCCTCTCGTTTTCTCCATTGCCTTACTCAGAGCTGTCCTATTCCGCCTGCTTTGTCAGGAAGCTATCAGACACCTGGTAGTCCTCAACCCAAAGCAGGCAATTTCCCGTATGGGGGGGGGAGAGAGAGAGAGAGAGAGAGAGAGAGAGAGAGAGAGAGAGAGAGAGAGAGAGAGAGAGAGAGAGAGAGAGAGAGAGAGAGAGAGAGAGAGAGAGAGAGAGAGACAGAGAGAGAGACAGAGAGACAGAGAGAGACAGAGACAGAGAGACAGAGACAGACAGAGAGACAGAGAGACAGAGACAGAAGGACAGAGACAGGGACAGACAGAGACAGACAGAGACAGAAACAGACAGACAGAAAGATTGAGAGAGAGAATCGAGTCATCATTCAGACTGAGCAGGTAAGGGGCAGATGTGAATAAGATTAATGAGGAGAAATCCTGCAGACCCCTGCTTTATCAGAGTCTCCCTTTTGTAGTTAATGTAGCTGCGCTAACTACATACAGTACATTCTTATTCCTTTTGCTTAGAGATTACTGGGAAAAGCATGTGAGTAAGAGTGTCCTTAAATCCAAGAGGAAGCTTGCTTTCATTTTCTGTGGGTCTGTCCATTACTTAAGCATGAAGTGTCAGTAGACATCACTTCTCCTCTGGTTAACTATCCACCCCCTAGCATTGGCAGAGACAGGTTTTCAGACACCCACAAATAAAGTTAGCCAAGGTTATCCTATAAGAAGTTGAAACAGTGACCCCAGACACTTCAGAAGGGACTTAGGTGATGGCAGGATAGCTCACCTTCCCCCAGATTAAGTCCAACACTTACACATGTTCCTAAGGCTGGGTTCAAGATTTCACCAGGGGACCAAAAACAGACCAAGGGAACAGCTGATTAAAGAAGGCCCACAGGATATGGTGGTAGGGGTAGAAGGGTTGAGTAATTAACTCCAACCTGAAGCAAAGCAGGCTGCAGAGCTAGCATGCTTGTGGAACATAAAGGCCCAGCATGAAGCAGCAACTGTGCAAAAGCATTCCCCCTGCTCTTCATCTTGAACCATCACAAAGTTATGTGACCTAACTCCATAGATCAGCTAAATTGTACCTACACACACACACACACACACACACACACACACACACACACACACCACACACACACACACACACACACATTCCTTCAGGCTATTTGCCCCATTCTTTGTCCCAAACTCCAAACTGTCTGTAGCAACTTGGGGGATAAGAGAGCAAGAAAGTAAGGAGGGGAGGTTGTTTCCTTTGGAATACTATGTCTGGGGTGAGGGATAGTGGCTACATCTCATCTTTAATGGACATACTGGCAGGATCTTACTAGTTACTTTATTAATAAGTAAATAATAGAGTAGTGTTGGTGGTGATGGTGATGGCTATTGTGTTGATTATGATATATAGAAAACAGCTCTAAAACCTATGAATAAAAAGACCTGTGTCCCTGTCTTGAAGAAGCAAAAGTAAATGTGGAAGTGAATGAACGGAGAAGTCATTTCAGGCAACTGAGGTAGTTTCATTTACACTGGTTAGACTTTTATGGAACTTGAGAATATATCATGCTTTGGCTGCAATTCAGAGGACTGTCCATTAGTGTCACACCACCAGGAGATTCCTATCGCAACAATATCTCACTGTAATATATATCTGTCTATTAAGGACCTGAAATTACCATGAACTAAATCAATACTTTTTTTTAATTTTTTCCCCAGCAAAACAGTGGAATAATAATTAACTTTTTCCATTCCACTTTTTTTTTTCACTCTGAGTAAGTTAAACATGTACACTGCTTTTGGCCAAAGAAAAGTAGAATATAACCTTCGGTCAAGTGTTAAATGTAGATCTCTTAGGCATTTAGTTTACTGTGCTGTGACTGGATGAGGGAGGGTAAAAAGGGAGATTTTCTGGCATTCACCTGGCTAAAATGCAAGGAAGAGACTGACAATTCATTTTTCAGGCAGCCCTACAATTATGCTCCCTTCCCATAGCCCCAGAAGAGGTTTGTCTATGTTTATGTTTGTGTATGTGTGTGTGTTTCTGTATTTCTTTTAATCGGCAGGAGGAGTGTTGTATATGCGCATGTATATATCTGCACATAGGCACGTATTTTTTTTACAAATATATGACTTTTATTTAAAAGATGAATATCAAGATTTTTATACTCTTTGTTACTTTAAACAATATAAAACTTATTAGGATAAAAATATAAAGTTGTATAATTTTAAAATAAATTAGATGTACCCTATGTAAAGCCTTTTCTTTTTAAAATTTTATTTTTAATTTATGGAACAAAACAACCATGTATATTTGGAGGGAAATTGTTATATGACTCCTGTTCTACCCTATTTTGACTATGTGCAATCCAGAGCAAACTGTTACGTAGACCTTGACTTCAGAGACAGAATGTGTGAGACAAACAAACAAATGCCTATAAGAACTTCCTTTTGAGATTGAATATCCCATGTAGTCAATATGGTTGGGGCTGAGGTGGGTGATTGCAATATAAGTATGTACAAATTATCTGAAGTAAATTCTTGCTGATTTTCTTTTTTTTTTTTTGCTCAAATATCCTTCTAATGTCACTTAATTTGTGTTTGAATTTAGCAATGTTTAGTCATGACCGTTTCTCATCTTCAGGCAAGTTTTCTGGCCTCCTCTAACCCTCACACCACCCCTGCTTAGCTAGTAGAATGAATATACTACAGTGAGCAGTAGAAAGGCTCATGGGTTCAATAAAATGCTACCAAAATTACCAGGAAATATGAAGGTTCTAAGAGTAGGATTTCTTCAAGATCCAAAGATTTCTGTCGTGATGAGGATACTTTTTGCACTATGGGTCAATAATTTCTCTCATCCCACTACTAATAGCTCAGAAAAAGAAAGCAATAAGATCTACAGTTGAATAAACAAGTAAATCAATTGCCCTTCACTCTAAGTCCATTCCTCTTTCCATTTTTCACTACAGCACCAAAGTGCCATGATTTGGTCTCTGCCCCCCCCTCCTCTTTCTCTCCCTTGCTCTCCTTCCCCTCCCCTCCTTTCTCTTTTCCTTCTGCTCCACCCACCACTTGAGCATTGGTGAAATTCATTAGGATATTCCTAAAGATCACTTGTCTTCAGAAAAAATTATTCTCAAGAGCCCACTAGGAGCAAAATGTGGTGTGATATGTTCTGTATACAAAGACAGATACAGTGGCAGATTTACTGTCAGGGAACACATAGTCTAATTTGAGGGAAAGGATAACTGTCTATGATAACTATGACAGGAAAATAAGTTTGGAAATGAGAGGATCAGAAAGAGTGAAATGAAAGTTTAAGGAGGGAGAGATCAGGCTCACCTGCTGGAGGGAGGAGGAAGATTAGTGCTTAGCACAGGATTTGGCACATCAGTATTTTTTTTCATTTTTGGGTTTTTGTTTGTTTTACAGTCATGTCCAACCCATTTAGGGTTTTCTTGCAAAGATACTGGAGTCGTCTGACATTTCCTTCTTGATGAGGAAACTGAGGTAAACAGGGATAAGTGACTTGCCCAAGGTCACACAGCTAGCAAGTGTCGAGGGTCAGATTTTAACTCAGCAAGATAATTCTTCCTGAGTCCAGGACCAGCACTCTACCCACTGTGCCACCTAGCTAGCCTT